TTTTTCTCTTTTGGTTTTGAAAAAAAAAAAACAACAAAAAACAAATTCAGAAAGTACCTGTTTGCGTTGTAAAGCGCATGGAAATCATCCGCGAGCAACCATATAATTTGATTTGCTAGGCAATCTGCGAGGCGATTGCACATCATTTATAATGTTCATTGAGCATTTTGCCTAATTGTGTCTCTTTTTGTAAAGGGAGCGCAGCCCCCTCCCGGCTGCGCGCGGCACAAGTGGCCAGATTCCCATGGACGGCGGCTCCGCCGCGGCCTTCCCAGCGCACGGGCGCGCCTGGCGCGGGGCCGCGCCGCCCCGGAGCGCGCCGCTCCCCGGCCCGCTTCCCGCAGGTGCTGCCCCGGGCCCGTTTCCTCGGGAAGCTGCCCCGGGAAGCGGCCCACGCGCGGGGGGCTGCCCCGCGACCTGTTGCCTCGCCGGGGCAGCGCAGGCGGCGGGGAGCGGGAGCCGGGCAGGGGGCTCCCCCCGTCCGCCGGGGGACGGCCCCGGCCCAGCTGCGCCCGCCCGCCCGCACCTTGCGGGCCGCACCATATAATTTGATTTTCCCCCGTGCCCGCAGATCGATGGCGGCTCATTTGTTACACTCGGCGGCTCCTCGGGCGGCGGAGAAAGGCGGCCCGGGGGGAGCGCTGCCTCCGCGCGCCGCACAAGTGTTGGGATTCCCATGGGCTGCGCTGCTCTCCAGCTTGCCGCGCTGGCACCCCGGCTGCCGGCGGGGCGCGCGCCGTGACCTCCGCCAGCCCGCGCTGACAGCGCCTCAAAGCGGGCGCGTTACGGCGCGTTAGGAGCCGCGCGCCCAGGTACCAGCTCGGAGGGGAGGGCGGACGAGCGGGGCTGCAGGTGCCTCCCGGGCGCGGCTTTGTGGGGCCGCGCGCCCCCCGCGGCGCCGCCACCGGCCCATTAGCGGCGCGGGGTCGGGGAGGGAAAGGGGGGCTGCCCGCCTTATTTTGCCCCCCCTACCAGGGCAGCCCCGTGCGGCCCCCACACTGGTTAGAGCCCTGCACCCGTTAGTGCCTCGCAGCGGTGGGAGACCCCGTGATGTTAGGTCAGTTAGAGCCCAGCTCCTTGTTGGTGCCCCACAGTAGTTGAGTCCCCGCGCTGACGGAGYCCCCAGGGCTCCGTGTGTTCAGGCCTGGGCCAGTTGATGCCCTGCTGCAGCTGGGCCCCGCAGTGACTGGGATGTGAGGGTCAAGCCTAGGATGGTTGCTCTTCCACTTGACATCCCCTGGCTCAGGGAAAGGGCACACACCTGAGCACACACAGCAGGAGAGGACAAAGGYGTGGGAAGCCTAATGAATCTTTCCTGGGCTCAGGGAAACAGAGGCCTTGGAGGCTTGAGCCCTGTCCCTCCTTAGTGACAGTCCCCATGCTCTGGGGGGCAAAACCCGGCACAACTTATCCTCACAGTGCTGGGCATGGCACCCACAGCTGCCCTGCTCGACGGGGGCCTGCGGCTCCTCTGGGCTTCTCCAAGAATAACCTGCCATGGCTGCTGCAGGGTCCTGCAGCTTGGGGTCCTGCCCAGTGTCCTGGGTGCTGCACGAGTCACCACGGCGGCTGCCCACGCAGGTGTCTCCTCGCCCTCAGACGGGAGTATGAAAAGTGTTTGCAGGAAACAAGCAATCCCCAACATTATACAATGCACAACTTTTTAATGAYTGTTTTTAATGACAAAATGAGCTGAGAAAATGCTGTGGTTTTCTATTCATTACAATAGTACATGAAATTGGGAACTGCAATGGGATTTTGTTTTACCACTTTCAGCTATAATTTCTATTGCATGTGTTTGGGACCAACTTGAAATGGCCTTCTAGAAAACTCCTGCTTCCCTTCTCCATCAAAAACAGCATCGCAGTCCACGAGAGATTCCTCATGGGAGACGGTGGGCTTTGTGATTCCACGGGAAGGTCGKACTCTGAATTTGTCCCAGTGTGACCTTAGAGACTTCAGACCTCTAGTTCAAGCAGACAGAGCCACTGGTAGGATGGAGATGAAGACTTGCTAAAGAAAATTAGGTGGTGTCTCCATGCTGGAAATGAGAACACTTCTAGGTGGCAATTTCATGTCCTTTCAACGCCTACAGGTAATGCAATCTAGTGTAAGAACTAGGTTTTAGGTCTAGAAATCTCTTAGCATACCTGTGATTTTTCCCTAGTGTCAGCCGATCAGGTTGGAATAGCACGTACCTTTGAGGGATGGACAGGTTCCCGAGCAAGAGCAACGCGGCGCGGACTGRCAGAGCGGGGCGCGCACCCGGAGAGCGCCCCGTGCCGGGGAAATCCGCGGGGGTTGTTCCCTCTGCGAGGGGTCTCTTCCCGCTAGGAAGCTGCTGCTGCCCTTCCCGGAAAGGCTAATTCCCGACCGAGGGGTCGGGAAGCGGCGCCCGGGGTCACTGCCCCGACCCCGAGCTGGGGGAGCCGCCGGGGAGCGGGGAAGAGGCCGCGCTAAGGACAGACACACGGACGCGGACTCAGGGAGTCGAGCGCAAGGCTGGACCCGCGGAGAGGCTGCGGCGCGGGRCCTGGCCCCTGGGCGGTAGCGCGGGCGCGGAGCCCCAGCCCGTTTCCTTGCGCGGGTGYCCTGCGCGGGTGGCGCCCCGGGCCGCGGCTCGCCCTGCTCCTGCTCCGCGGAAGAGGAGGCTCCCCCCACCTTCCCTCGGGGAACGTTGCGGCGGAGCACGACGGCTGGGGGGCAGGTGAGGCCAAGCCTCGCATCCCCCCTTGCATTGTCCCCCCCATCCCGCTCCCAGCATCGCGCCCCATCTCTAGCCCTTTAGTGGCGGCTGGGGAAACCTGGCAGCCAGGCAGCTGCCAAGGGGGCTTGGCCTGTGAGCACCGACCAGGAGAGGAAGGAAGTGAATCCTCGAGTCCCTTCACTTCTGAGCTCAAGAAACCGAAGTGATGAAGTGTTAGACACTGGATAAATATTTTCTTTGCTGGAGCGCAGCCCTGGGAGCACTCGTTCCCGTTAGCGCTTCGCCAGCCCTCCCGGCGCGGMCGGCGGCGAGTGTCGGCACAAAACGCGTCGCATGCAACGCCTGACCAGAGCAAACACTGAGACGGGGCGTTGCGACACCCGCGGTGCTTGCCCGGCTACGTTTCCACAGGTAGGGCTGCAGTGTCACCGTCTCCTGGTTTTCGCAAGTTCCCTCTAATAACGTCCTGGCAAACTGAGATGAGGTTTCCCCCTGAGTCAGATTGTTCCTTAAACGATAATTCCTATTAATTTCTCAAGAGCAAATGTCCAAAAGTGGAGTCCTTTGTCTTTAGAACATCCTTATGGAGCTGCTTCTGATTTCTTCACGGGCAAGGGCTGGTTGAGCTCAACACAGGGCGCTAGATAGGACACTAGTGTCCCTAACTCTCATGCTTGGTCCTAAGCGCCACGGGTCTTCCCAGTCCAGGAGACGCTGTTTGATCAAGAATTGGACTGGGTAGACGTTCCCCAGAGGTCAGCTCCAACCTCAACCCCGCCGTGATTCTGTGACCATGGGGACCAAATGTTTCATATAGCACAAGAGGACCACAGCCACGCCGTGACAAGGGGAAGAAGCAGGGCCACTGAATCCTGCCACGCATCCCCGTGGAACTGACCACAGTGTTTCCAAAGATATTTTATGTCCGAACGATTTCTAGGGCTTTGAGCTTCATACAGCTTTTCAGTGTCCAATAATAGCAGTTAATGCTCAGAAAACTTTTTCTTTCTTAACTTTTATGACAGCCCAAAATGGGCAGCACAGGATAACCTTAATTCCCGGTGCAACAGGTTGCCAAGGACAGGGATCGCAAGGATCTCAGACCCCTTGCTTTGGTTTTCCTGCACACGTGTAAGATTCACGTCGCGACGTCCCACGGGGGTCCCGCGGGACAGGCGAGGTGCTGTGAGTGCCGTTAATGCGCTGAGCTCCCCTGGCCTCTCTCTGCACAAACAGCCCCTAGAGCAACAGCCGGATCCCGCTCGGCTTTTTCTAGACGCGTCCTAAAAGCTTCGACGTGGCCGTCGGGCGAGCGCTTCCCCACCAGGTCAGGGGCAGACGGGTATCAGAGAGCGCGGCTGCCGGAGGGCTCGGCGCTTTCGAGGGAAGGAGCCTGTTCCTGGGAGCTGCTCTCGCCGGAATCTGCCGCACGCGGTCAGCTAGAGCCGGGGGACACGAGAGGTTCGCGGGGACATCCCTGCCTGGCCACAGGAACACGCGTTGGCGCTCGCGCGTGTCCGCGTGGGGCGGCCGCCGCGCCACTCGACGTGGTTCGTTCATCCACTCTGGAGCTCCCGGCTCCCCCAGGAGCGCGGCCCGGGCCTCGGGGTGGTGCCGTCCCAGGGGGCGGGCAGCGGAGGGAGCAGAGCAAGCTCTGCCGCCCAGGAACTCCCCACACTGCCGAGCCCTGTGCCGGAGGGACGGAGTCTGCCCCGCCCCGACGGCAGCGCCTTGACCGGCACGGCGGCTCTCTGTYCCACACTGATGCTCCCGCTCGTTGTTTGGACCTGACGGGTGGGTTTAGGGCACACTGAGGCTGGAGTGAGGCAGGGGAGCCCAGTTTGGCGGGGGAGAGATTTGAGAGGGGGGCGATGTGTGGCCAGAGCTCTTGTCCTCTGAGGATAGGCTGAGGGAGGCGAGTTTGTTCAACCTGGCGACGAGGCCGTGCCAGGGAAACTGATGCTCCCTACAGCAGCCTGCCCAAGCTCCCAAGCAGCCGTGCACTTGGCACCATGCGTGGTTGGAGGATGCAGGAGAAYGGGCATAAACTGAAATGAAAACTTCAGAGCGGACGTCAGCAAAACCTTTTCCAACATGAGGGGCAAGGGATGCTGAGACTGCGTGCAAAGGAAACCGTCCCTACCATGGGGACAGTCGCGCCGCGACGAAGGTTGCACCGAGCCGGGTGCAATCCCTGCGCAAACCCGCGCCGACGGCGCGACCCACCCTGCTTTGAGAAGCGGGTTGGACTCGACGCCTCCATGCGGCCTCATCCCGGGATCCTGCGCGGGGAATGGGCCAGGGCCGGGGCTCGCAGACGTTGTGGGACTCGCTACGCGAGCTGGACGTGCCCAAGCGCACCCGGCGCCCACGGCACCCCCGGGAGAGCGCGAGGAGAGCGGCGAACGGGCGTCGCCCGGCGGCCGCCTCGCCCCTCAACGGGAAAGGGCCGCTGCTCCCCTGCCCGTTTCTCCCACCACGCRAAGGCGTATCCTACCTTCGCGCCAGATCTGGTGCCTTCCTTCCATTTTTTTGCCCCCCCCCTTTTTTTATTGTATTTTTAAAATTTATTTTTAGCGTGATCCTTCTAAAGGCAAGGCTTTCCAAGAAATGGCTCTTGCAAAGCTCTTTGTTCCCTCCTGTGACTCACCCGTTTCTCTGGCGTTATCACGACGCTGTCAGCCGCTTTGAAGTCGAGTCATTTATTACTTTTCTAGAGCTGGCCCTGTCTTACTCTGCTGATAGAGTGGGGTACGTTTCCTTTTGGGGTTTGATCTCCGTCTATGCTGGCAGTGCGTTGGAAAGTCACTTTCGATAAACCTCGACAGACTTTACCGGACAAAATGTTGCAGCGCTAATGAGAGAGATAATCCTTCCCTAATCTGATGTGTAATCCATTTCACCCCAGTGAGAATTTTTAACGCTTTAATCAGTGAGAGTCAGTTAGGGAATTATTAACAGAGCTTCAGCCAAACGAGCTCATTCTGAGAGGGTAATTGGAGTGGGAAAAGAAAAAACGCAGTCCAATCCGATATGCCTAAAATCGATCCGCACCCGGACTCAAGGAGCTGATGTGATTTATGTTGATGTTGGGACACAATTGTCTTAATTTCAGATGCCCCTGGAAGCCCCGCTCGGCCGAAGAACCGCGGGGCCAGGGCCTTGGCAGCGAGGCGCGCAGCTCTCCGCGCCTTGGGACACCCCCGGGAGGGGCTGGGAGCCGCGGAGGCTCCGCAGCAGCCCCGCTGGCCGCCCCGCTCTGCCCGGTGCCCTCGGGGGCCGCAGCCGCCTCCCCGCGGGGTCCGCAGCGCCGCGGGGTCCCGCGGAGCCCCCCGCCCGCCCCGCGGCGCCGAGGGGTGCGGGAGCCATCCCGTGTAAATAGCGGCGTCGCCTGGATCCGCTGCCTGCTCCGGCTGGGATGCTCGGGGCAGGGACACTGAACTG